GGCTATACGGATTGTATAGTAGGACTCTATGAAAGCGTTTTAAGTCATGCAACTGCCTAGACAGTGTGAAGGACCCCGCACAAAATATACAGAAAATGTGTCACCGTTTATTGGTCTAAGAATTCACTATGATATATTTCTCACCTTCCCGAACTAAATTTCTCAAGGAATGAAAGCAATCCTATGATTAGTTTCTGAGAAATAGGAAGATGAAGTTTGCAAATTCGCAAAAATGGTGAACGTTTTAGGAATCCTTTAAAGTATCGACTATGGATATCTTATCGAAGTTTTTAGAGGAATGATTTGCTTGACGACTATGCAATATTTAATGGGCATTCTTGCCAATAAAAATCTGACGCCTCAGTTAAGAAGGCTGCATTAACGTTAATATCTATAGATTTCTCGAACGCTTTTGACAGCATCGGTCATGAATTACTGCTATCTAAATCAAATTATATAGTTAATGAAAGCTCTTTCATTTTTCAGAAGCTATACCGATCAAAGGACTCAATGTGTTTGCATTGACCGAACATTTTTTCATGTGCCTATAATTCCTCCAGGCGTGCCTGTGAGGACCGTTATTATTTCTCATATACAGGGTGTTCCAGCTTATTGTTGCATATGCAATTTTTTGCTTTTTGAATAAAAAAACTGATTCTTAGCACTTTTCAATATAAAAAAGCTCTCTTGTGAATTTTCGTTATAGTTAGCCGTTTTTGAGATATTTCGATTGTTAAGGTTCGATGCATTTTTAATTATTTATGATAAAATAACGTTAAAAAGTCAGTATCTTGATAATTTTTAGAAGTAGGCTGTGCCTGCAAATATTTTTGAAATTGAAAGCAGAATAAAGTTAAACGTCAATTAGTTGACAGTTAGTTTTGTTGTCTGTTGAATCCTGAAACGTTTTTTTGCAATTGTAAATGCACGAAATTTAGTTTCTTTTACCTGTTTTTTTTGTAAGTTTTATAAAAATTCCATTTTTATTCTCCAATCAAGAGTTAGCGGATATTCATTTTGTGTATGGCTTTGTAAATGGAAACGCAGCAGAAGCAGCCAGAGAATACGCACGAAGATTTCCAAACAGACGACATCCAACTCGCTCAGCATTTGTAAGAGTGCATCGCCAAATAATTGAAAATGGTTTTGGAAATCTCCAAAACATAAATGTTCGTCAGCGCAGATTTACCCGTATGATTCTGCGTGAGTTTGATAGAGATCCGACCATAAGTGTTAGGAGAGTTTCTGGTGCCTTGAGAATTTCAGCAAGCCATGTTCACCGTGTTCCTAGAAATGACCATAGACGTCCTTACCATTTGCAACATGTGCAAGGACTACAGCCAGGGGACGGAGAACGAAGAATCACATTTTGTCAGTGGATTCTTGATAGAATTGATAATAATAGGGAGTTTATAAGTAACGTTTTATGGACCGATGAGTCATGCTTCAATAGACGTGGAGTGGTAAATTTTCATAATCAACATATTTGGTCGCATGAAAATCCGCATGCAGTTGGGAAAAGAAATTTTCAGCATGAATTTAGTGTGAACGTGTGGATTGGTATCTACCGCAATCAACTATTTGGACCCTACCTTTTGCCTGCAGGGTTAAATGCTGTGACCTTCTTGGAATTTTTAAAGGCTGAACATGCAAATATGTAGGATGATATGTTAGATTTAAGAAGATTGGCCTGGTTCCAGCTTGATGGTTGTCAAGCTCATTATTCGAGAATAGTTAGAAACTGGCTGGACGAAAATTATCCAGAAAGATGGATCGGCCGTGGAGGACCAGTCGCCTGGCCTCCACGATACCCTGACCTAAATCCATTAGATTTCTTTGTGTGGGGATTTCTAAAAGAAAAAGTGTACCAGACTCCCGTAACCACAAGAGATATGCTAATAGACAGAATCAGGAATGCATGTGATGAAATAAGGCCTTATTTGAATAATGCTATACCACGTTCGATCATTCGTAGATGTGAATTGTGTATTGAACAATTGGGTTTACATTTCGAGCAACTACTTTAGATTTTGTCCTAACTATCCAATAGCATTTTAGTTGTAAATAATTAATTTAATTTGTTAAAAATAATATTGGAAAATTAAACAAATTAATATTCTGTTTTTTTTGTGTTTATTTGGAGTTAGGAATTATTGCTGTGTTTAAAAACACAATCTAAACGATCATCTTAATTACTTGTAATGCCCAAATCGAAAATGTAAAAAAAATATTATTTTCCCATAAATAATTAAAAATGCATCGAACCTTAAAAATCGAAATACCTCAAAAACGGCTAGCGATAACGAAAACTCACAGAAGAGCTTTTTTATGTTGAAAAGTGCGTAGAATCAGTTTTTTTATTCAAAAAGCAAAAAATTGCACTAAGAAAAATTTTTCGGTCATTTTCATACACTACAGGTACAGTAGGGAGCGCCCTCCAGCGGCTACAGTAAAACTATTCCCATGGTTCGATTTGTCGCACCAAAAAACCCTTATATACCAATTTTCACTGTTATAAATCAAATATTGTTCGAAATATTTAAAAAAAACTATTATAGAAAGTAAATTTGAACACCCTGTATTTCGGAAGTCACGCATTTTTCGACCCATGTTAATATAGACTGTATGCATTAATTTTAAAAGTTCTATCGAATCTTAAAGTTATGCAACAATAAACTGAAACACCCTGTATACTTTTGACAATTCATATATCCCACCTTTCGGAGACGATTCACAATTGCTACATTATTTTAATCCCTAGAAAGTCGCAAAAACAGCAGAAGTTTTACAAAATGATGTCAATAATTTAATCCAATATTCGGCTGATAATCTGGTTGTCAACACTCAAAAGTCTAAAATGTCATTATTTTGTATACAAGAAAAGAAGGACGCTTAACATCTTTCTTGAAGGTCCAAATAAGTAATCTAAACTTACAATTCTCGAAATATTAAACGATTTTAGCAGTTTCATCAACTGGAAGATGACATGTTTGTTCTCGCTAACTTCTGTGATCTTACAAAAGCATTTGATTGTGTCCAAAATCACATTTTGATTCAAAAGTTGTCGCTATATGGTTATAGTAATAATAGCCTGTCCTTAATTGCGTCTTATTTATCAGACAGAAGACAGTATGTTAGTGTACGTATTAAGCACGGAGTTCAACAAGGAAGTGTCTTGGGACCGATCCTTTTTTTTGATTTACATCAATGATCTGCCAATCTGTAGCATCAATCAATATACAGGGTGGCGCATCGAAAACGAAACAGACGCATTTACTGGCAGCTCAGTTTGTTGTTTGTTTTCGAGGGTGACATAAGTTTGGAAAAAATCACGTTACCACGTGCAGCCCCCTGGGCAGGGGTGACACCACCCCCAAAATCTTAAATGATATAAAACTAATGTACTTCAGTTCAGTAGTTTTGAAGATTTGAAGAATGAACTGACCCGTCAGGCAAGTAAATGTTGAAAATGGTCACCATGACTCTCCATGCAATAATAAAGATTTTGCTCAAAATGTTGCCGCACATTTTGCAATATTTGAGCAGCGATTTGATGGCACTCATTCACAATTCTTTGTCGCAGGTCTTCTAATGATGTTGGCTGAGTAGCATAGATTTTGCTTTTTAAATGACCCCACATAAAGAAATCCAAAGGTGATAAATCTGGCGATCTTGGGGGCCATTCAATGGCACCTCTTCTATCAATCCATCGATCTGGAAACGTCTGATCTAAATATTCTCGAACACGTAATGCGTAAACTGGTGGGGCACCATCCTGTTGGAACATCAACCTATTCGCAATGTACCGCCGATCATTTTGATTTTCAATTATGGCTGTAAATGCAGGATCTATGGCGTCTTCCAGTAATTCCAAATACATTTCACCGGTCAAATTTCCATGTAAGAAAAAAGGACCAACTAAATGATCGCCAAAAATACCAGCCCAAATATTTAGTTTTTGTGGCTGCTGTGTATGAACCTCATGATAAATTCTGGGATTAGAATCGGACCAATATCGGCAGTTATGACGATTTACTATCTTATTTTATTGTTCATCTAAATTTTAAACTAGGTCTTATCAAGTTTTTTTACCTTTTATTGCCACTTTGTGTTTTACGTTTGTCTTATTTTCGTATTGGTTGTTGTTTTTACTAACTCTTTTATGTTCTACTCCAACTGACCTGTGCAAACACATTTTTGAGTAATAGTACCAATAAATTATTATTATCATTATCTGCAAAAATTGTTGGTGTTGTTTTTCTCCCAAAATTTGGATTTGTCAAAAAGTTATCTAAGGCTATGTACTCTAGTTGCAAACGCATATCTACTAAATTTCAAGTTATGTAAATTGATATGCTGAGAGCAGACCAAAACAGAAAAAAATTGAATTGACAGTGCTCTTTTGCCTTCAAAACCAACATGACCTTGAACTGACCTTGTAAAGCCCAAACAACCACGACTTTTTCATGCCCTTGTTAAACGAACTGTCCTCTCGAATGACTTTTTGAATTCCCCAACAACTCGTGCTAGATCCATTTCAGTGTCAACGCAAAAATAAGCTTGTCCTTAAACTGACCTTGGAAAGATAACGGCCCGGGATCAACATGACACCTTCCTGAAGGGTTTTTTAAATGAAATATTTTTCTCAGTAAAACAGCTCTCTGACAATGAGCATTTGGTCTAGGAACTACAACAGGAACATTCACTATTTTTGAAAATCGGATAAAGTTCCTTCCCCTATATCTCAGAAACTAATCACAGGATTGCTTTGATCTCATGAGAGCTTTTTCAGTGAATCAAGCACAAAGAGACATGACATACTTTATGCTTTGACTGGAGATTAAGCTTACGCTGAGCTGTCAAGTTGTTATTTAAGGAGACGATTATACACAATATACAGCGAAAATATGCGACTTAAGTGGTTTTTGAAATTTTATTTCAGCTTTTTTATGGCTATCAGGCTACTGAAACTATTGCAAGCGATATGGACATACAAGTACCTTTGAACTCTGCATTCTTCGTAGCACCAAGCGAGGTTAAATCTGGAACAGAGAATAAAGGTACTTGTACCGAAATGTCCCACTTTCAATTTGAAAAGCATTTTATTTTAAGAAGTATACTCAGTGTATTACACCTAGAAAAAGTATGCTGTGGCAACAATGTCAACGTTTTAAGTCCCATCAAACTTGTGCGGGATGACTATCCATTTTGCACCGTCCGCCACAGACTCTGCCACAGGTGATCCACGAAGTTCCAGTTACTTGGAATGAGGTACTGTTAAAATAAATGACTCAACTTTGAAAACACCCTGTATATCGGTTGCACGCAGAAGCTTCGTCTATTGCATATATTAAAGACCCTTTTGAATGTCTAGAAGCTCAATATCAACACATCAACCACAAAAAGTACACCGTTACTCCAACGAGGCCCATTCAGGAAATATTCGGCTGTTCCGTGGGCCACAAAAAGGATCATTTGTAGTACAGCGCAGCTGATAAGAAGTTGTCCGATTAACCTCATCACATAATTCCTGCGCTTCCAAGGCGTGCCGTTGGCGATAAGGCCTTTTTGTCAGCCTAATATGCGGCTATTTATGAGCCAATAATATAACAGGGATTTTCGGCTACTCGTCTCTCTACACCGCGACAGATTACTATTAATGCGAGGATTTTTTGTCCTGGTTACGATGGATAAAACATAATTTGATGTAGTTCTGACGGCAATAATAAAGGGTGTTGTTTTTTTAAATTGGTAATAAAACCATACTCTTCAATAGTATACTAAGTGACATATAAATCCGAACACCCAGTTTAAATGGTTTAATTTTAATAAAATTTTGTAAGTACTTAAAGAAGCATAATAAGTAAATGATAAAAATTTCAAAATGATTGCACTGCTTTAAAGACCTTTAATAATGTGTGGATGCACCCTGATGTGCTACGCATTCTCCAACGCGCCTAGGCATGCTTTTGATCAGGTGGTCAATGTCCTCCTGTGGTATCTCATTCCAGGCAACCACCAACTCCTCTCGAAGTGCTTCTAGAGTCTGAGGAGGACGTTGCAAATTGAGCAATCTCCTACCCATCATATCCCCACACGTGCTCAACTGGGGATAAGTCGGGAGATCTTGGTGGCCATGGTAACAATGTGACATCATTATGTTGAAAGAAGTCTATTGTGACTCTTGCAACATGTGGTCGGGCATTATCTTGTTGGAAAGTTGGATCTGCCAGGGTAAAAGATGGGGTTCTAGAAATTCGTGGATATAACGCTGCGCGTTCATGTTACCTCTGATGAAGATTAAAGGTGACCTGGAACCATAAGCACCCCAAACCATATTTCCAACAGTGTGATGAACATGTCTTTCAACAAAAAACTGTGGATTCCTCCTTTCACCACGTCGCCTTCTAACCCTGGCATGACCATCGTGCATGCCTAAACAAAATCGAGACTCGTCACTAAAGACAAGACTGTTCCATTCTTGATCCCAGAGTGCCCGTTGTCTGCACCACTCAAGGCGATTACGTCGGTGTTCTCGAGTTAAAGGGAGGTCCCAGTGTGGCCGGTATGAAAACAAGCCAAAACTTCTCATTCGTCGGTAAACACTTCGCATGCCAATAGGTCTTACGTGTTCTGCAAACCATTCATTTGCAACGGACCTGGTAGTGGAGAAAAGGTCCCTTAAGGCCAATAATCTTAGGCGGCGATCTTCACGGTCTGTTGTTCTACGGCGGCGTCCAGTGCCCCTTGCTCTTTGCGTACGGACTTCTCGAAGCCATGCCTGACAACACCTAACCACAGTGTCTACACTTCTTTGCACTCTAACTGCAATTGCCCGAAAAGAAAGTCCAGCTTCCCGAAGTCCCACTATACGGCCCCTATCAAACTCACTAAGTTGACGAAATCGTACAGGTCTCCGTACTTTAGGCATCGTAACCGATCGTAAAGGATGTCAAGAACCAAAATCCGCCAACGTTGATTCTTTACTGCGGCTGAAATATTCATTTTTAGAGCGTTAGTGAATTAAAAAAAAGCAGTATAAAAACCGGAATGTCCAACTGATAAGGCTGAAAATTTTTTCACTTGTTATTTACAGTAAGATAAATACATTCACCAACTTTTATTAAAATAAAACCATTTAAACTGGGTGTTCGGATTTTATATGTATCACTCGATACTTTATTCAAAAGAATACACCTTCCGATTGTTTATGAAATACAATCAGTTAAATGGGTGCCGCGACTGGTCTGACAGTAGTTCATCGTCTTAACCCAACTTTGAAATACATTTTCGCTAGTTTGTGGGTCTATTTCATCAATAGCTCGACGGATATTTTCCTTAAGAACATCAATTGTTTGAGGATCGTTAGTGTAACGGCTGACTTTAACAGGACCCCAAAACGGCTGATACCGCGATGACCACTCCAAAAGCCACACCGAAGAGTCACTCTTTTTGGATGCATTGGTTTTTCTATGACGACATGTGGATTTTCAGAAGCCCAAATTCTACAGTTTTGCTTGTTAACGTAACGTCACAGATGGAAATGGGCTTCGTCCGAAAAGACGATTTGGCGACCAAAATTGACGTTCCTTTCTAATTGAGCGAAATTTTGGGCCGCTGAATTTGAACCTGGCCGTAAACTTTACAGACCATCCTCGTACTTCTAACAGGTTATAAAAATTTAAAATTTTTTAATTCTTCATAATATTAGCAATGATTTTGTGTCTCGTAATATTTTTTTATACTTCAACTACCACGAAGGCCTAAGGCCTAAGCACCCATTGGGTACCGTGGGGATATAGGGGGATACATGGGAAAGGGGGAACGCCACACGGACTCTGGCGAGGGAACACGTGTGCATACAACATGCACACATTCTGGCTCCGCCTACGAGATCCGCCGGGTGGTACCTCCGCGTTCGACAGTCAGAGACCGTCTACCACCTACGGACAATCACAACATCCATAGCCAAGAGAAACATTTCTCCTGGGACGGGACTCGAACCCGCACAGCGCACGGCGACTGATCAGGAGACCGAAGAGACTACTACTGCGGCCACCGCTGCTGCCTATATCTGGTAACACTTTAAAACAGTGAAATCCGAAATAGCTGGGGGACTTCTTGAAAAACATGTAAGAAAGGTTGTCAACATAAAAGTTTCTTCTACTTCATGAATTTGACAATGCCTTTTGAATGTAGCTAAATCCTGATTAATGTATACAAGGAGCTTATTTCCTAAACTGTTAATAAATGTTATTTAAAACGTTGGTATACGCATGTGTGGCCATGACTCACTCTGAAATGCGTATCAAGATGAAATAAGCTCTTCGTCCCGGGTTTGGACTCGTTACAGAAGCCTTGATATTCCCTAGTATGCTTATCGACTTTTGAAGCGGCAGCGATTTTGTCGGAGTGGACTTGCCCTGTGAACCGGAAACTGCCAGTCACATTACGCGCCTTATTGTACAAACGACGAACGGATTCAGGAAAAGCTTTCGTACGACTAGAAAAGAAACTTAAAGCCTCAAGCTCAAATGCCAACCAAACTAAGTTGGCTTTGAATTCGCCGAGTTGTTGAATTCACATCGGAAAAGGTTGCAGACAGCGGTCTTGCGTGGAAGTGAGTCTTTATGTTCAGCGGAAATATCAGAAGCGGGATAATTCTTTGGTCGTCAAAGTCTGCGACGGTTTGCCCGTGCTTGGTTATTGTTGGCGCTCCTTGTCGAGGGGATTAAATAATGTTTTAGAAATTTTCGAAGAAAGACATACATGGCGAGTCGCATCTGTACATTTTCTAAGAAAGTATCTGGCAGTTCACACAGTGCAAGCTGTTTTGTTAATGTTCGAAGCATCGAAAGATCCATGAAGTTTATAGCTTTCCAGTGGATGCTTTATTCCGAGAATTAAGAAAGCAACGCACAGGGACACGTACTCGTAAACTCGATCAAAAGGATGCTCGTAGGTCGTTAATGTTTGGTCGTTCATTACCTCTAATGTGTTCAATTTTTCCAATTAAATTAATAGTAATTTTGCAAGTTAGACAATAGAACGGTTTTTATTTTTTTACTCAAAAATAGCGCATCAAAAAAAGCAACTCAGGAAACGTCGTTTGTTTTAAATTGAACGCATATCGTTAAAGAACACCCTGTATATGTGATTTTAGGTATGCCAACTTCTTTTGATGCGTTCTACAAGCTGTAAAAATAAAGGACTCAACTTTGAAAACACCCTGTATACGAAGTCCCTATTTATATTTTGAGCCCAATAATGGAAAAACTTAATTTGTCATTGATAATCACTGTTTTTCAAAATATTCCGCATTATGATCTACACGCTTTTTCATGCGTTTTAACCACTTTTCATAACACGTTAACAATGTTTATTAAATAATAGTTGAAAACAAAAATAAAAAACACGCTTTTATAGCTAATCGAACTATCGGAAATAATTTTTAATTACAAATTTATTTATTAATTTATATTACAGTAGTAGATGGTCGAATCATGACTAGTGACCTCAAAATAAAATTATAATAAAACTTACGCGAAGATATTAAATAGGTATCATCCTTGTCCCAAATCGCTACCACCTGTAGGCGCGGGGAGAAAAATTGGAAAAAATTGTAACAAGATCTTCGTCCGAGACCACTCAATGTCGTGCCTTGAATATACAGGGTGTCCACACAGTTGGGGTTGTCCTTTTCAGAAACAACTACCCTTGAAATAACAAAGGTAATGTGTAGAGAAACGAGGGCGACCAAGTAAAAAAAAATAAAGGAAAAAGTACTCACTCTCCAGTTGACGAGAAGGGCTAAGTACGTCTCTGCTCGAAATCATACCGCTCCAACAGAAAATGAAATCAGCTGATGCGCTACCGAGCAGACGCAAGCGGTGGTGCAGACCACGAACAGAGGTAACAAATATGACGACGTTGCCGAGTTTTCAGTTTTTAGGTAAACGTACTTTATAGGTATTGTTCGAAGTTATCGCCATTTGATTCAAAACACAGCTGCGTGCACGACGTAGCCAAGCATCGGTGTAGGCTTTGAGAATGGAGTCCCTCCCCCGAATGAAAGCACCAGTTTGTTCAATTCTGAGACGAAGTTCGTCAACCGTATGCACTTCAGTTTTGTACACTAAACGTTTCATTTCTCCCCAAAGAAAAAATCACATGGTGTTAAGTCTGGAGATTGCGGAGGCCACGCTACGGATCCATTACGTCCGATCCACCTATTCGGAAATAATTCATTCAAAAAACTCACACTTCGCGTCTAAAATGGGGCGGTGCACCATCGTGCAGAAACCACAGTGATTGTCTTACACTTAATGGCACATCTTCTAACAAGGAAGGCAAAACGTTGCGTAAAAAGTCTAGGTATTGCATCCCGTCCAATCGATTTGGGAGAATAAATGGTCCAATGAGCATGCCGTTCACCATGCCAGTCCAAACATTCACCGAAAATATTTGTTGAAAATGTGCCCGACGGACAGCGTGCGGATTTTCTACTGACCAAAAATGAGTTCTGCGAAAGTTATTCACCCCATTACGCGTGAACGTAGATCCGTCTGTCACCAATATGCACTTCAAAAAGTCCGGATTATTGTCATGTTGATCAAACAACCACTCACAAAACCGCACTCTTGCTGGAAAATCGTCAGGTTGAAGGGCTTGTACACGTTGGACGTAAAACGGATACAGCCCCTCTTCACGCAGCGTTTGCCACACTTTAGTTTTTGATACTTCCACTTCTCTAGCCACGTCTCTAGTGCTTGTTGAGGGATTCTCGTCTACGCGATTACCTCTACACGCGTGACCGTAACCGTCGGTTGAAGGTTGCATACTGACCTGACACACTGACCCCGACCCAGTTTTCAGATATTTTTGATGTTGCAGAGCCCTTTATCTCGGTTCCCGTAAGACATTGGTGTATATGGTACTAAGAGAAATTGCTTATGTTTTCAAGATCTACACGTCGTGTAAAGGAAAACCCCAACTTTGCGGACACCCTGTATAGTTCGGATCTCCAGTCCAATACTTCAATTTCTGGACTGGTCCGAGACCCCTCGAATTTCAAATTCTGTTACCTTTCACTTGTCTGCCCGAATGAATACTTTCAGAGCCCTCGAACTCAGTTAGCTTCAGTTAATGAAATTAATGGAACTCAAGTTAAAGGAGACTCATTTTTATTAATAATTGAATTACAGACTCAAAATATCTATACACTCGTGAAGAGTGAAGTAGCAATGACAAAGAACAGTTAACTTAGTGGGAAGGGATCACTGGAGGAGTGAATTACGACTAAGTTAAAAGGAGCAGTGACAACTAATTTACAATAAATTTAAGTTTGAACCTAATATCAAAATTAAACTCAAGAATCTCAACTTTACAATGCTAATTAATCAAGCTAATGCATAGAATCTTTATTTGATTCGGTTTTATTTTAGATTTAGCCAGAAGGGCTGATAAAGAAGAGAAAAGCCCCCTTTTAAGTAAGTGCTTACTGATGAGAACACAACTTAACACAAATTCTACCAACGCAACACTTATTAACAGCCACTAACTGAGGGAACATCGAAGCACAATTTTCAACCGTACAAATCAAAGATAAGAGAAGAACCGAAGTTTTTAGTTCCAAAATTATCGGAGGTCAGTTGCGGATTTGCCCCTCCATCATTTTGACTTAGTGAGTGCAGCCCTTGTCTTCTCATTGGTCAATCAGTTTACAACCCTTGCAATTGCCGTCCGATTCTCTAAAGATGGAAACTAACTTGGCCAATGATTGTTAGACTTAATTTTTGAACTCAAAATGGCCTTAAACTCTATTGGTTAATTACGTTCCCTTGTCCCACCTCAAGGAGTGTCGTCAGCGTACAGTCTTCCCTTAAGTTTACGCGTCTCGTGGCTCTATTTGCTTTGGGGCAGACCCTGCAGTTTGCCATAAGTTCAATGAATTGGGAATTCCTGTAATGCTGAGGCCACAATTCGAGATGTCCTCTAAAATAATTATAAAATTATACATAGCATTTAGGTAAAACTAACGATGACTCTCTTCGGAAATTTTAATGTATTTTTATCAAAATTAGCTTCGTTGGAACTACGCAGTCTTTCGTTAGTTTCACCTGCTCCTCTCTAATGATAATTTCCAAACCGCATCTGTCAACGCGTACGTTGACAGAAGGTAGAATCGTATCCAGCTTGGCGCACTTAGTCCTATCAGCTAGCGGAAAATTGTACTAAAAACCTAGCTGTTTGTCTCCTCTTTTTCATATTTTCCCACATATGACAATCATGACAAATATTAGTAATATGACCATTCAGCGCCCGGGGTAGCTTATAATATCTGTTAACCAAATGTTTAAGTTTCAAGTTTCTCAGTACTCCCTTGCTTGTAAACTTTATAGTTATCTCCAAACCATGTTTTTGTCCCGGCATATTTGAAAAGTCCAACTTTATAGCGTCCGGTGCTATTATCTATTTTCTTCGAAATATGAAATTGGTTTCCCTTGGCGTCGGCTGGGTGGTTTGCAGATGCGAGTGTTTGTTCTGCCCTTTGTTTTTATGTTTATTTCTATTTTATGGATGCGACGAATTTTTACAACGGTAGGCGGCATGATGAATGATTTCAACGAATTTAGAAATTGATAACTCGGTCGGCTACAATATCTTCCACGATCGCAAGGCTTTCGCCTCGCCTAGAACACAGACCGCTAGCGAATTCCCCCGCGAGCAGCCTGACAAAGCCGAAGTTGAGATACAAAAGTGTGTTCTGAAATCCGAAGGCTGAATCGCAGCAGCAATAGCGACTCAGGAGATCGCAGGAATGAAATAAAATAATGCCACGGTGGCACAATGCACTCTTCTCTACGATTTGTGCACGAAAGAAAGGGAAAAAATTGTGGAAACTCAGTAGACTGGAAATAGATATCAGAAGTATTGGTATTATTTATTGTCAAGAAACACGGAGCAAGCGTCTAAAGATTTCCGCAATTTTGCATTTTCGTTTAGAATGGTAGAAGGGCGATATAATTCTGCATTCAACAAAATTTAGCGTGGTTGAAGCTTTCAAGCTTAAGGTGTTTATAAATATACTGAAAACTTTTAAACATATATGCTGTCATATCAGGATCCGAACAATATGAACCTGTGACTTCAAATTTAATTTGAACAAAACTTTATTTGCCCGGTTAACCTTGCGTGGCAGCGTATTTGTCGCCATATTATTGCCTTTGAATAAGTTGGCAGTGCACTCACCATCTACATGCAGCATCACAGCTAAGTTGATCTTAGGCTCCGTGTTGACTTGGCATTCGTACACGCCTGCATCCCGCTTCTGAACATATTCGATGTGCAGATCCCAATCGTCTGAATGATCAGGATGCCGAACGCTGAACCTTTGGTCACCGGTATACGTGTGTATACCTGAGGTCAGGATGTGCAGATCCCGTTTGCGCATCCAGGATACCTGTAAAGAAACACATCATTAGCAAAATAAAAAGCACCGTTATGTCTCGAATTCTGGGCAATGAACACCAAAGTAGTGCCCATTGTCATAGTAGCAACGGGCGTGATAACAAAGAACACAACAAAGGTAAATTTTTGGAAAGCATGGAGAAGTAGTATCTATTATTCTCGTAAACTCTCGTATGGCGGGCCAGGAAGGTCCGCGACTCCTTAAGGATATTATTGAACCTTAACATTTGTATATTCAGGATGATTGTATAGTTGTGAGAATTTTCTGAATTGCTATCTCGCTCTTCCAAAAGTTTGGTTTAGGGGCAGGTTAGCTTTCAAAAAGAGTTATCTCTTGCCGACGACCTACCTCCCCAAAAAAATTCGTGCAGGCGCCCGTGATTATTCTTGAACCATTCAAAATTTTAAGTGAAAATCAATATGGATTTACAGAAGGGAAGGCTACATCGGACGCAATAACTAAAATTGTAAATCAAATACATCAAAATATTGATAACAGAATCCCTTCAATCTGCATTTTTGTTGATTTAAAGAAAGTTTTCGACACAGTTAATCACAAATTATTATTAGAAGCATTGGAGAGAATTGGTTTCAGAGGAAACGCGTACTCACTGATCGAAAGTTATTTGTCAAATCGCCCACAATCTGTGCAGATATCAGGATCATTTAGTAAAGAAATGTATATTAAGTGTGGTGTCCCACAAGAAACTGTCTTAGGTCCGCTGTTATTCAATATATATTTAAATGATATTTTCCAAATTAATTGTGTTGGCAAAATAACTAGTTTTGCAGATGATACTGCAATATTATATGAAGGCACTGACTGGTCTGATCTGAAAAATGTAATTGAAAATGATTTTATCAAAATTATTCGATGGTTTAACAGTAGAAAATTAAGCATTAACTACTCTAAAACACATTTTTTACCATTTGGATCTTATGCTAGACATCTGCCAAATTACACAAATTTCTCCTTCAATATTAATGATCAAAAAATGCAAATTAATAGGGTGCCCAACATAAAATACCTTGGAGTGGCCTTGGATCCTCACTTACGATGGGACATCCATGTCAATTATATTTTAAAGAAAGTTAGATTTGTATCCTACAAAATTAAATACCTTGGGAATATATTGACAGAAAAATATCTTCGAACATTATACCATGCACTGATTGAGCCTCATCTCACATATGGTATATTAGCATGGGGAGATGCATGTTCCTCAGATATCTATAATTTAGATGTTTTTCAAAAAAGTATTCTAAAAATGATATTTAAAAAACCGAAACTTCATCCCACTGAAAAATTATACGCAGATGTTCGAATGTAGCTTTATTTCTTACACAGTATCACTCACTACCATAAATTTGTAAACACCGACCAAAAAATTAAACAGTCATTATACCAGGTACAAAATTCGTGGCACATTAGTTCCTCAACCGCATAAATCTATAATGCAGCGATCATATCTCTATTTAGCGCCTAAATTTTATGAAATTATACTTAAAGACTTAAAAGATTTACGTTTCGGAAATTGTTTCAAAATAAATTTAAAAAAGTGGCTACATTCTATATCTAGGACTGAAATTCATAAACTCATAAATACAAACATCAACTAAATACATAATCTACTGTAGCTAATTTTTGTCCTTTTTTGTCATTTGCATTCTACAGTTTCAACTTAAATTATTGGTCCATGTACAGGCGATGCCTTCTATTGGGTCTGTTTTGATTTTATATTTATTTACTCATATTGTTTGTTATCTTTGTACATTGAGTGAATAAATATTATTACTATTATTATTATTATTCGAAAATCGATGAAGAGTGTCATATTATTACAATAAGCCTTATACTAAAAGCATACTCATTGATAGAAAATTATCAATCATACCGCCCATAATCTGTCTAGATATCAAGATCGTTTAGTAAGGAAGTATATATTGAGTGTGGTGTCCCACAGGGAACAGTGTTAGGTCCTCGGTTAGTTTATATATATTTAGACGATATTTTCCAAATTATAGTGACTGGTCTCATCTAAGAAATGTAATCGACAATGATTTTAAAGAAAGTTAGACTCGTACCGTACAAAATTAAATATCTTGTGAATATACTGACAGAGATGAATATTCGTACATTACACCATACACTGATTAAGCCTCATCTCACATATGGTAATTAGCATGGGAGCTGCATCTTGCTGAGGTATCTATAATTTACATATTTTTCAAGGAAGTATTCTCTCAGAAATTCCTTTATAAAATATAATTGGTCGTAGATCCTTTTACCCTTTTTTGAAATAATACCGTCCAGAGGTCTACCCATAGGCAACCAGTGATGTTCTTTGTGTAGGTTATTTTATTGAAATTCGTGTCAGTCATCATTTTCCTGTTGATGTGATGATGTACAGGTCTTTGTTTGATTTCAGATTTTGGGATATTTGGGCCCCAATCACGAGTTTATGGAGTAGCACCCTTTGTTGTACCCACCTTACTTTTAGTTTGGGTGCTACTCCCTCTATTTTTATGGGACTTCAACCTCTTCAGCGTGGGAAGGCATTGAGGAGAACCACCATTTGAACTCCTCCAGCTTTTTTCGAAAATTATTTAAAAATGTGTCTGTAGTCTATATGTAGGAAATTCATAAATCTGAACTCGTGTTATCTTCTTTGTACATTGACTCAATAATGGTAATTATTATTACTTCCAAGACAGTTTGTCGAGGTAATTGAGTCACATATCTCAAATAGAAGATTCAGAGTTAGGCAAGAAGGTTATTACTTTGATCTTCCGGACAGCTGCAGGGTTTGACGATGATACCACATTGGTTGCAACGATTACAAGCCTCATTCAGCTTCTAACTTAAGATTTTTTATTTCAAGCGACGCGGCGCGTGTCTCGAAACTTCTTGCACCCACCTCGTACACCACCCCGACATTTAGTCCTGCACGTGCACTTACGGTACCCAGTTTGCTCAACTTCGACATTAAAACTTGCTTTGATTTGTCTAGCGGAATTATAATGTAACTAAGCAATTACGCGGATGTGAGCGAGACAAGCTGGTAGCTGTGTGCTGCTTATGCCGAAGTTGGGAGTTGTTGGCAACTGTCGTTCAAAAAACTTTACGCGGCAATCGTCTTATCAAATTGCACCTAAATGGAATTGTTCCGCAACTTGCCGGCTGCTCCAGGTGCAACTCCAGACGTGGAGGCAGTTCGTTGGCTGAGATGTGGAGGTGTGGAGGTAGGTATACAACGGATACAGGTTTTACGAGCCCCATCACAGACAGTCCATACATTATCTAATTTTATCATAGATTTTTTTTTTTTATATCGAAACAGCCGCGCAGGCAGAAGCCTAAATGCCGGAACACCGCGGCTGCTATGATGATCCCAAAGAAATTTTGTTAATACGATTTTTGAACTGCCTAAGGTTAGTAGAACTGGGAAAAGCTTCCTCCCGTAGATTGTTCCACAATCTAGACACCCTCGGGACAAAGGAGCGGTCGTATCGGCCAGTTCTGGATGTACGAAGTTTGACACGGTTAGGATGGGACGCCGAAGTCAGGCGGGTCTGTCTGGCAGGCACATCGCGCGGCGGCATCATGGAAGAGAGCTCTGAGGAGCAAAGTCCGTTGGTGTAGTGATAGAAAAGAGCCAGATCGCCGACGGCCTGTCGGTGCGAAAGAGTCCCGAGACTGTCTGTTAGAGAAGTGTCATCGATCAGTCGGACCGCCCTCCTCTGGACAGCATCGAGCATGGACAATGTAGTCGGGGCGGCAGCACCCCAAATGTGTGAGCAATACTCGAGGCTAGGCCTTATCTGGGCCTTGTATAGAGTGAGAAGGTCATGCGGAGAAAAGTACTTCTTAGCCCTAAACAAATAGCCTAGCTTTTTCCCAGCAGCTGCAGCTGTTGAGGAGATGTGTTCGTGCCAGATCAGGTCCTCGGTGATCTGGACTCCGACCAGCCGAAATGAATGGCTCTTTGGTAGAACTCGACCGTCCATCGAAACTGTATGAGCGCTAGGACGCTTTTTGTTCGTCAAAGTACAGTACTGTGTTTTGGAAGCATTGAACTATACAAGATTGTTGCGTCCCCAAGCAGCGATAGCCTCCAGGTCTCTTGTCAGAGAAGAAGTCGTCGCTAGTCTTCTTTTTTCCAGCTCAGCGGCGGAGATCGGCTTGTCACTCTGAATTCCTGCATGTAGAGTGCTGTCATCAGCGAAGCTGTGGATTGAGTTGATCGTGCAGGAAAGGAGGTCGTTGATATGTAAGAGAAACAGTGTTGGAGCCAAGACCGATCCCTGGGGAACACCCGCGTTGACGTTGTGGGATGAAGAGGAGAATCCGTCAATTACGACGGATATCTTGCGGTCAGAGATAAAGTCAGCCACCCATCTGCAAAGCTTTTCTGGGAGGCCGTAGGATGGAAGTTTGCTTAAGAGGGCAGCGTGCCACAGCTGATCGAACGCTTTCGTGATGTCAAGAGCAACGACATAAGCCTCACCATGAGACTGGATGAGTTTACTCCACAGTTGCGTGACGTAAGCTAGGAGGTCCCCTGTGGATCGTTGGTGCCGGAAACCGTACTGCCTGTCGCTAATCAAGCTGTGACGTTCGAGGTAGTCCAGAAGCTCACGATTTATGCACCTCTCCATCACATTTCTTATAACAGAAAGCAGAGCTATAGGCCTGTAGTTGTAAGGGTCGGTTTTAGATCCTTTTTTTGGGATGGGCTGTACATGAGCAAATTTCCAGTTTACTGGGAAGGTGCCGGATTCATAAGATATCTGGAAGAGACGCGAAAGAACTGGAGCAAGCTCCACTGCACATCTCTTCAGTACAATGGCAGGAATCAAGTCCGGACCAGAAGCTTTGTTGATGTCGAGCGACAAGAGCACTCGTCTTACTTCCGCCTTGGCCTTTGAGTCGAATACAATAGTTCCATCCTGACACGTAAGTGGTGGAAGGCTACTGTGTGAGAAGTTCTTT